GGGAAGAGAGCATCTCTAATTCAAATTCAATGAAATTTTGTGGATATATTGTATGTATGAATGTATTGTATTCACTGTACAATACAAAGGATTCACTATTTAGACATTCTTCAAGAAAGTGACACTAAAATTTTGGAGAAGGATGAAGAGACGAACAAATTCTGAAAAGATTCAAGAAACAAATTCAAGGAAACGTTCACACACGTATGCACATCTAAACATATATGTATACATACATTCACAAATTTTTATTAATGAATCGAAACGGACTTTCTTGTTATTGTTTTTATGTATTTTTTGTATTTCGGCTAAAGTACTAATTATAACGCATGATTCTCATTTGCTTCTTTTGTTTTATATTCCGTAAGACATTCAAACCTATATTATTTGCGGATATTCCAAAATCATCAACGAATGCTAGTACACAGAAAAAAGAGCAATGAGATTTTAATTTTTTAAACAGTAAATTGCAATTAAGAAGTGATTAAAAGAGAATAAGTGAGAAATTACTTAAAATTATGGTAAATAATTACATTTCAGAGGAACCCATAGAAAATCTTTATCAGAAAGGGCAATAGGCCACGAAATATATAATCACATTGTCGATATGATGAGATTGCGTCTTGTTGACGAAGGAAAACTGCTTTCAGAAGAAAATATTAATGACAATTTTATTGATCATGTATCGTGTTTATGATCAACAATCTATCAACAGAAGAATCATTACCATCATCACTCTCAAAAAAGTGATCTGGATCAAATCCCCTGAAAAAAATCAAATCAATAAATCTAGAATATAAAGGAAAAGTTGTAACTATGGCGAAAAAATACTTCAATGTCCCATTTGTCTTAACGTTTTGTAATCCAGTAAAGTTTAATTCAATAAAATTCTTTCATCATTTTCAAATAAATTTATAATTTATAATTTTAGATTTTAAAGATTTATAATTTATTTTTAGATTTTAATATCCTTCCTTTGTGCAACATATTAATATTATTTGATAATCATAAGCAATATTCTATTTCATAATGTTGTGTAATGTTCATGTGTGTGATTTTGAATAAAAAATGAAAATATACTTCAAGTTGTAATCATATGTATAAATTTTAGGGAAATTTTCGAAAATTATAAATGCTTCTGAACATCTTTCTGAATTATTTACAAAAAGTAGATTCTTAGTAGATTTCAGATTGAATTTTGCAAGATTAGATACAAAAAGATTATTAGAAAATATCTCTTCAACTTGATTCATACATATGTAGTACATAATGTATACATTTACGCAGTGAAAAAAACGAAAATTTTTAGATAAATTATAGTAAACTCAAACAAAAATACCGAAGCATTTTAATATCAAAAATTTTTAAGAATTTATGTTCGAATTTTTTTTGCAAATGAATATTAAATGAATAAATATAAATCTTTTATATATTATACATGAATTTTACTTAAATAGAACATCTAATACTAAAAAAGTGAAAGAGCGACATTTAGCTTACCTTTTAATAAAACAAAATCAAGCTATGTAAAATATCAACTGTGAATGAACTTATTATCGATTTAGAATATTTATCCATAATCGTGTCACAATCGCACGATTCAACATATTTCTGCTTGCACATAAAAAATAAAAACAGTGTAAAATTAGACTTTTTGTAAATCGAACGTAGCTTATAAACTATATATTTAAGTCAATAGTGTCATACATACAAATGGTTCATTACAACCTGTGTGTCCACAGTTACAATCCTGCGAGTTAGGCTTTCACCGCCCCTTTCGCGATTTCTTTAGTCTACTGCTAGATCAGACGCATTTTCGGGCTCCTCACATTTTATTTGATGGTAATAATAATCAGATCGTCATTTTTACAGTTCTTCAGGTAGAGGAATTCCGTACCGTACATTTTTTTGTTAAATTATCGTCTATAAACTATGGTAGAGATAATACAATTCCATTATAAATACCTTGACAACGAATGTCATTTCGATAAATTTTTTAGCCGATTTCAAATAAATTTTTGTCGAATGAAAATATTACACACACAATTTTCGAATAATAAAAAAAAATCAAGGATTTCTGGTTTACCAGATTTGGGAAGAAAAATGATAAAGTTACATTTTTTTAAACAATCTGAAATTTATGTAGTAAAATCTTAATTTGAAATTTGATAATTGCTGTTAACAGTTAAACTTTGCTAAGAAAATATGCTGTTCGATAAGATACTCTATCTAATCAAGAAATAAAAAGTATAGATACATCAATGTACATAAAAATATTTGTTACTACTATTTCGTGCGCTCTTTTTTGTTTTGAATTATTAAAACGGGTATCATTGACTCTGCTTATTTTCGTTATAATTTCTGTACTTCTGTCCTTCTTTCTTACTTCTGTTCGTTTCTACTTTCAAAATTCGAATACTCGCCTTTTTCTTCATTTTTAATACAGTAAGGATAAGAAAGTACAACTAAGATATGAATGAATTTACCGACACAATACGGAATACCACTACGGAATCGAGAGCGAGGTGAGCACGTGCTTGCGTACATGTGTGCATTACGGGTGACGCATGCAACACATATGCACGTACACATGCCCATCACATGCACATGTGTTTCATCGCGCTATAGAACACGCGATCTATTTGCGTCTCTCGTCACTGCGCGTTATCTTCCGCTTTCTCGCATTCTGTCTTTGTATAATCGTCGCATACAACGAGCCTTACATATCGTAAAATCGATAAACGACCAACCGCGAGACAATCCTCGCCTCGATCAGTAACGAAATACAAAAGAAACTTCCTCGCAACATGTACAACATCACTATTACCGATGTCGCATCATTATTTCGAGTTCTCTTTCTTTTTTTCTTTTTTTATCTCTTTACGAAATCGAATTCATCGCTTCTACGACCACTTACCTCTCGTGTAGCTTAAAAAGTGTATGCATACATATGTATACACACCACACACACACACACACACACACACACACACACACACACACACACACACACACACACACACACACACACACAAGTAATTATAAATATCATTTTGTTTCGCTGGGACTTACTGCGCGGGGGTGAATGTTATCTCGGTGACGTGCAACCCATTCCGGATATCCTGTCGAAATAATCGTAAGATCAGAGACACTGCTTCTCCCGAGACTTCCCCACCGGAAACGAGTGCCGTTTGCACGGACGAGCCGCTCGCTCGTATGAGATATTATCTCCCTGATAAAGTGTCGGCAGGCACGGGCGAACAGATATACCAATTAGGACGCGCGATAACGATCTCGATCGAGGTGTCACTCTCCTCGATTAAATTGTCGAAATATCGTCCCCCACACTATCATTGAGATATTAAACATAACATAAACATTATTTGTAACACTCTCATAATCAAGCGTCTCTTAAAACCGGAACCGTCTCTAAATATATATATATATATATATATATAAAATAATATATATACAAATATATATAAATAAATCGAAGCAAATGCGCGATCACCATTAACATTAAGCCACGAAGCTGGAAAAAGCTATTCGAAGTTACGATAAAACGAATAGTTCATTAGAAATGATAATAAAATTTAATTGTCATTGCATCACTGCATGACTAAGCAAGATAGTTGCGAGTAAAAAAAACGTTCGGAAAAAGAATACTGGATGATAATCAGATTAATTCTTTATTCTTTATTTATATATGGAAATTTTTTTCATTTCTTCAAAAGATCGGAAAAGTAAATAAAAAGTAAATAAAAAAAGAATTTAGTTTTAATTAACTCGTATAATAAACTTTTCATGACGCAATTTCTTTAATTTTATTATTAATTTCTCAACGTTTACGTCAATTGCATACAACTGATCAATCACAAAACTGATAAAATATTCAAATATGAAGTTTTCTAAAATGAGCGAAATTCAATCATTGTATTGAATCAAAAGGCATACGCTAAAATGTGAAACAAAACATTTCTACAATTTCTACAGAATTTCTATGTAAAAACAATAAGTCCATATTGACATATCATTAAGCATAAAGTTAGATTTGTTGTTATAATTGCTGTGTGAATTGTGTGTGAATTGCATATTTCCTATGTTCTAATTATGATCGTAATTAATACATTCTCGAATTTGCGAGATAAAGTTTGAATACATTGTAACATTATCTGTTCCTGTTAATGCATAATTTATAGTTATAGTTGAAAATGCCTCGATTGCAAGTCTCAATAACCTAATTGATAAATCCAATTACGCAAAATTGAGAAAAGAAGCAAAGTTACTATGAATATTATTTATTATGTAAAGCGATAACATTTAATCATCAAATGTGGGAGATAATCTTAATTAATATCTCATCTTTTAAAAGAATTCTTTGCAACTATGTAAAAATACATGAGAAGGCTTGAAGCACCAAGAGTCATTTGAAACGCGTTGTCTTTTAAGTTCTGAAAGTTAATGCAACTTCCTCGTGCAATATCGCTATGCGGTAACTCCGTTCCAGGATGTTTCTAGGATCGAGGCGTGCATCAAACTCGTGCATCGAGCGCTTCCTTCTTGAGTCGTCAATCGGCACCGACACGCGTCAGCAGACTAGTCCATAGTCGCTATATCCAACCACAGCCCGCAAAAACACATCTTTTTAGCGCGGCGACGAAGGCGACGAGGCCGACGGGCGACAAAACGAGTACGACTGAGGCGGATTCGGAATATCGAACGAGCGGAAACGCTTTGTAGGGTCCGTGTTGGTTCGCCGAGTTCCAAGAAAACGAGATCTCCTCTCGATCTCCTCGAGCGCACTTCGCTCGTCCGCCGTCTCTCCTCCCTTCCTCCCTTCGGAGTCGCGATCCCCAACGCGACGTATTTCCACGTCGTCCATCTCCCTGTCGCTCTAGGATTCGCGCGATTCTTCCCGATGCCCGACAGATTCGTCTCTGATCCCCTTCTCCGTCCTCGACCCTGTTTTCGCTTTGAGCCAACGACGACAACGTAACAGAAGCGAACCGCAGAAGGAACGCGACGAGGGGTTAGTAAAAGACAAAAGTAAAAGGGAGAAAAAAAAAGTGGATCCACGTCGTGCGACTCCATCTCGAAGGCCATTCTTCAAGGCTAACTTGTATGCTCAAAGGGCCACCAACGAGCATAACGCGCATCGAGATTAACAGAGCAGATGCCGATAATCCGTACCTCGTCTTTCCTCGTGAGGGATTAGAAAGTGCATAAAATTTGTATTGCACACTACCGACCGCTGGTTCGATGAGCTTTGCTTGTTTCGTCGCTCGTTAACGCTTGTAGAACGGCGTGCGAAAAGACGCGTGCACGCGAGTGCATGGCAAAAGGATGATTAAAAATCCGGCAGGTCCGGCCGAAATCTTTCCAGAGTAACCGGATACTTCGCGAGCGATTATATCGGCTGCCTTAGCGAGAGGTTGAATATTTTATCGTATTTTTATAGCGATCGGGTCGCCGTCGTGGAGCCTGGATTTCTGACTGTCGCCAAGTATCACGTGTGAGCGAGTTTTTTTCTACTCAGGGAGCGGTTACATATTTACGCCTCCTCGTGTAAACATTTTTGTATTAGTTGCGTGCTTGTTGTGCGGTTAGATTTCTCCGAAAAATAATGATATCGTAAAGTATCGGTTTTTTTAATGAAAACAATTTCTAGACGGGTAAAATTTCTGGACGGGTAAAAAATGGAAAGTCGTAATTTTGGTGAGTTCTGACAAAGGTAAATTAAATTGGCGCAAATTGATTATCGTAAAATTGTGGCAACATTAGCGAATTAATACAGAGAATTGGGCGGTGAATTAAAGCTGAGAACTCGTATGAAAATCATCATGGTTGAACATACGAGTGACTGCTTCCTGGCGAGTGCAAGACAAGTTAGTGAAGCAAGTTTAAATTAGTTTAAATGGTGAGTAGATTTTTTTATTTTCAAGCCGTTACTTCTTCATGATGCACATATGAAATCACGTATCTGCAATTTTAGTGTCATTAAATAGATAGACGGGTTATTATCATCGGTACCTGAAGCAAAGCGGATAAAAGCAATTTATCGCGCATTTATCGTATTTAGTAGGCGCGTCTCGTACTTAAAACGTCATTAAAACTCTTAATTTGCAGTCGCGTTGTAGCGACATTGTAATCCCATTGTACTGTCGGACCTCACGGCGAGGAGGAGGACTCCTCCGCTTTGACGAGCGTTTTCCTCGAGCGAACCGGAATCCCTCGATCATATCCCCGCGACCTTGCACGCACCGATATCGCTTTGGAATCACGTTTTCCCACGTTATCGTAGAGCGGATGCTGTCTATTCGATACTGCGCCCGTGCACGATCAACGATAATAATTGCGAAACGGACAAACGGTAATAGAGCATGCGCGAACAGCTCGCCTATCCCAGAGCGATTTCGTGCGCGTTTCTACCGCGCGCGGCGCGAATCCTGGCTGCGTATATTCCGTTTAGTTGCGCCTTTCACGCATTAATGATAATGACACGAAACCCTGGGCGAAGGACAGTCGCGCGCACGGAATTCCGAAGGGGTTGGCGAGATTTATTGCGATTTGAGACCGGACATTAAATGCATTTGCGTACGATGATACCGGCTCCGTTCTCGGAATCGCATTGCGGCTAGATTACGATCGTGATTTCGTGAAATGATCGATTCGCAAGTATTCATTAATCTGACAGGATCGAAAGACCCGAGGCGCTACACGGACTACGGTCGAGTCAATTATTATCCGCCTTTAAAAAAATGCATTCTTTAATTGCAATTATAAGGGAACACAATATGGAGCAGAGCTTTGTAACGGGTCTGGGAATCGGTGAATGCGCTTTCTCACTACTTCTATAATTCGCTATTTAAATAGTATAGCTATTATTCAGCAAGACGTTACAATGAACGAATTAATACCAATTATTTCGTGCGGTTAGAAAATCCTTTTCATTCTCTAAAATTATTATATTTTCATTGATTTATGTAGTACGGAATTTAATTAATACAAAATTTTTACATCTTGGTTAATATATATTGTCCGTTTAAATATTTTTTTATTATATTGTTGCATGCGAGGTATTGTGAATCAAAATTACACGTAATGCATCCTATTACCGAAGTTTCTTCGATCATTTCACAAGCAAATGCGCGGTGCTAAGAACGTTTCCTCGCTTACGTAATATCAACCGTGCGAACTCTGACCGAAGCATCGTTAAATACCGCCTTTATGCTCCACAAGTGGTACCTTTCCAATGAGAAAATAACACTGGTTCTTACTACCGAGACACAATAAAGCATAAGATCATAATACAAGAAGTAAAGAAATATCATATAATGTTACTAATGCGCGCGCCCAAGATAATAATAAGAAGTGATCAATTTGAACTTTGAATCAAGATATGACGAGCAATTTTACTTATCAAAAAATTAATAAAAAACATAATACTATATATATTTGTATCTTTGTATTATCTTACTGTAAAGTCGCGTCTCTATATTTTGTGTCTCTATATTTGTTTGTTTCTTAAAATCCAATTCTTATATTTTATTGATTCTTCGTCAACTAACTGGCACAATTCTTCCTATGCTATTTTCACGGCTAGATAAGGCGCTAAAAACCGCCTCGTTTATCTTGCCGATCCTCGAGGTCTCGACGCTAACGACGGTACAATTTGTTCCGTGTATTCGAATCGTTCAAACAATGCGCGAGCGTCGTTATCGGTCTGAGCAAATGCTGAAAAATCTAGTCGGTTTACATTCCCGTGACTCACCGAGGCGGAGATGGAGAAAACGTGTCGCTGACTATTAGAAAAAAATGTCACGCGCTCACACGCCTTTATATACTCGTAAAAAGACCCGCGGAGTCGCGTCGTAAAACGTTCGCGACGCGCGGCGTTACAGTTACGATCGGCCGGTTTTCGACCGGTTGGCGATTAGAAGTCTTTTTCGTTCAGGGCCTCGGAACGACGGAACGTTCGAGAATTTCCGGCACGT